GTTCCACAGAATTGGCACTTCTGGAGCAAAAAGAATACATCTTGAAAAGCTTTGAAGAAAAAAAAATGACTCTTGGTATTTTTATTAATTTCAGCAAAGCATTCGATCACTTAAATCACAGTCTGCTACTAAAAAAATTACAAATGTATGGATTTCGTGGACATGCATCAACTCTCATAACATCTTATCTTGCACATCGTAAACAGTACGTTCATATAAATGTTTATTCATCTGACATTAAACCCATTCTATCTGGCGTTCCACAAGGAAGCATATTAGGTCCCTTCCTTTTTAATTTATATGTTAACGATATTGTCAATATTAATAAAAGCGTTAAATACGTAATTTACGCTGATGACACAAGTTTATTTTCTACCGGTAACTGCTGTCAGGAACTAGCAATAAAGGCAAATCAAACGTTGAAAGACCTCGCTACTTGCAGTCAATGTAATGCTTTAAAAATAAATGATAACAAAACAAAAGCAATTTTATTTCGCCCAAAAAGTAAGAATGATTATATAACTACTGATATTGTTTTAAATGGAACCAAAATAGAGATTGTATCTAGTTTTAAGACACTTGGCGTTATATTCACGGATCGAATGAGTTGGGATGAACACGTAAATTATATTTCGGTAAAATTGTCACGAGTCGCAGGCTTAATGTATCGTCATCGCCATATTCTGCCCACAAATGTAAATTTAATTATTTATAATGCATTGTTTCTCTCCCACATTCATTACTCTTTCTTAGTCTGGGGTACTACTACGAATACAAATTTAAACAAAATACTTGTGATACAAAAGAAAATATTGCGAAGTATTTGTAACGTGTCATACGATCACCCTAGCGAACCTCTCTTTAAACGTTTAAATTTGATGCCTGTAAATAGATTATATAAATATCGTTTATGCATTACCTATTAATCAGAAGTACAAACAAATCTTCATGCCCTTAGTGAATTGGCGTCTCTCTCGCTAAGAGTAGCAACATATCCTACTCGAAACACGGAAATTTGGACGCTCCCTATTTGCAAAACTAACTACGGTGAACAAATGTTAAACTGCTTAATTTTCTTGTTAGACTGCTTGTTAGACTGCTTAATTTTCTTGTTACTCACAACATTGACCTTCCGACAACATCTGTAAAAAATCTCCGAGCATTTTTTTTTTCTTTTCCAAAAGTGATTGCTTAGTTGTCATGTTTCATAACCTAAATTTTTGCTGAATTGTATAATGCTTTGCTTGCATGTGCTTTGATTTTGTTTGCCTCTTATATAGTCGCACCTTTTTTGTAATATTGTACTGTTCTTATCTCTGAAATTGTTATCTTTTCTCTTGGTTTTCTTTTTGAATTACTTGTGCCACTGCTGTCATGTGTAAGGAGGGGGGGCCGAGGGCCCGTCAAGCTGCATGATGCAGCTTTTTTCCTCGGTCTCCCTCCGTCATTTGTGTTTTGACGGAAAGTAAACATTATTATTATTATCATAAAAGAAATTGATCTATCAAACGGTAGCGTGCCGATAGCACAGCGACAGAAAAGCTGTCAAGATTCGGACCGCTCTGTCCCTTTTATAATGCTTAGCCCAGCGAATAAAGATACTTTGATTTGAAAGCCAAAACATTGGTGAACGTTGCGGGAAAGGTTTGTTTGTGCGTCTTGCCTGATAACGAATTGATCTATCAAACGAGCCTGCCGATAGCTCGGCGACAGAAAAGTTGTGATGAAAAGACAGTCAGACCGCTGCCCTTCTTATACCCCTGTTACACGGGCACACTTAACCGCGGTTAACTCAGCTTTAACTGCGGTTACGTGGTAGCACAGATGCCGCACTATACCCTCGGACAGCTATTTCAAAAGAAGTGAAGAGGGCGCGTGCACTGCTTTGGTGGGTGCTCAAGATGCTCAAGCGCACGTTCGCCCATAGCTCTGACTGCATCGCCGCAGAATGTTGTCGGCAAGTATTGTGCGCTAATTGTGGTTTAGCGTAACTGTAGTTAAGTGTGCCCGTGTAACAAGGGTATTAGAATGCTTGGCTCAGTTGCAGCGAATAAAGATACTTAGATTGGAAAGCCGAACCATCAGTTAGCGTTGCGGGAAAGGTTTGTTCATGCATACCGCCTAAAAACGAATACACGTGCTATCGAACGACGGTGTGCCGGTAGCGGCGTAGCTTCCGTCTCGCTGCGAGACGGAACCGACGGAACGGTAATCTCTGACAAATTTGAGGGTTTCCTGCGTGAACGAGCGGGTTCAAGAATGTCGTCTTTAATTTAAATCGGAACAGCATGCATGGTCAATAAATAGATCGGCCAAGGTAACCTTCTACTGCATGAGCACGAAGCGAGTCTTCAAACCTTTTTGAATATTAAAACGTTCGTAGAAACTTCATAACGTCGCCGTCTCTTTTGCTTTAGACTCTGCCGCTCCACACGGGCCTAATTATTTAACTACGAAATATTTTCGGCTTCTGCCACCCGTAACTACGGTCGGAGGTTAAAAGCTTAGTCGATGTAACCCTAGGGTAACGGTGCTTATCGAAAACCTACCCGCGTCCAGCATTTCTCTATTTTTGTTGTCACGTGACGTAATCCGCCAGGGTAACTCGGATCCGTTCGAGCAGGTTTGGAACGCAGCCTCGGTGTGTCGCGCTCCTGTACGATATGCGTCGCTTAGTTGCTGCGCTCGGAGTATGAAACTCGGAGCGTCGGAGTTGGAGTAAAGGAGCGCCGACTTAACGCGCCCAGTGACGAGACAACAACGCACGTTTATTAGCCCCGAGAAGTTCGCGTGGCGCCCCCTTACGGCGAACCGGGGTGACGTCACGGCGAGGAGAGAATTTTTCCCTGACTCGCCCCGGTCGCCCTGGGGAGGCTGTGACGACGCTAGCTGTCGGCGCGCTCGTTTCTATTTAATCTTTTTTTGGCGTGTTTTTTGTAGGAAGTGTAAATTTTTATATGTGCCTTTAATGAGGTATGACCTGTAGCTACAGGCGAAACTTCAACCAACATTTGAAGCATGGTTGATAGGGCAGGCAACGCATGAATCGCAGCTGGTATATGAAAATGAAGAAATATAGCCACAATTGCAGGAGCATCACTATAGATTTACATTTCGCACAATACATGCCGATGATGGTCTGAATAAATTAGCAGGTTATGTATACTATTTTTTTTTGTATCTCTGTTTTTAAACAAGATGTCCGAAACAGAAAAGCTGCATGTTGTTCGAGCAACATACTAAATACAGTCTGGGCCATGGGGAGAGAATCACAAGTACGACAGCCCAATTGGGGTGGCAAAGTAGATAAAAAAGAAACATTTATAAAATAAATTGCTCGCATTTGACCTTGGTTGAATTCGGATATTATTTCAATGGACTACATGGGTGGTATCTGTAAACTTGTTTATATCAACCCTTGAGTAATGTATAACAAACGTAAGCGAAGGTGTCTAGCTTGTTATTAGTCCCTTAAGCCCTAAAATTGAGATTTTACTTAAATTGAATTGTCCTGAAGCTAAAATATCAGAAGCTTTTCTCACGCAGACTGTCGCCCTTCACAGGTTCCAAATTTTCTGCTACCAGTGCTGGATCTACCACTGGACAGCCGTTCGAATGCTTGCTTTTGCTCCTGTTTTCCTCTGCTGTCAGAGAGTCCAGCTGTAGGGAGTGTGGAGGCTGAGGAAGCTTTTGGGGACCCGCAGCAGTGTCTCTTTTAATTGGAAATGACAATTCAGACTCAACGCTGTATTTTCCGAATACCAAAGGCTGGAATAAAGAATGTCAGGAAAATGTATAGCCATTCAAAATCACGGCACTATTGCTGTGCATATTTTTGGCAGTTCAATACGTATCATACAGGCAACTGGGGGCAATTCGGCCGTTTTTGCTGCTACCATACAAACTAATTTTCAGTAATTGTGCATCTTCTAAGAAATATGCCTGCATACGTGTATAAACTATATAATTAATTCACGAAGAAGCTACATTTATGTGAAGCAACCCTGTTCCACGAGCACTTCAAAGATCATCAGACGCAGGGCCTTTAAAACATATGCGAACCAGCGCATACAGAGTGGCAGCGCAGAGTCGGGGTCGCGAGCTAATTTGCCGACCACCCAAAGGCCCATGATATAAATGCCACTTCAAATGCCTTGAAAGCGGGATGTAATATCGTCCTAAATCATGAACATGCAAGAAACAGACTTCCAGCGTCTGAAACACTTGCGCCACCCCTTCATCGACCCCTCGCAAGATTGCCGTGTGTCTGGACGGACGAGGAGGTTCATCGGCGGAATTGCCTCCGCCGATAGCTTTCGAGATTTGTAACCCAATTTTAAAGGTAAAAGGGACAAGCAGGCTTATAAAATGTACGGAAGCACGTCAATATCGGCCTAAATCAACCTCTCGTACACCGGGTAAACGAAGTCCAGCTCCTCGAAGAGCTTGCGGCACACAACGCCAAACCAGGAAACCGGTGCTGGGAAGCGAGCCGATGCGAGATCGCGGAGCGGAGTCCTCCCCCTGACGTCACGGTACACCTCACCCAATCAGGGCGCGGCGACCGCAGCGACGCTTGTGTTCGCTCTCGGGGCTAATACCCAGCGCGTCCCCAAAACGTTTCTCTGTTAGCGGGGTACCCATATTAGAGTTTTAGTAGATCGTTCCGACACCTCCGCTAACGATACCCGATAATAGGGAGTTTTCGTAGATCGTTTCCGCCGTCCCGCAACGCACTGCGGAACCCGCTACGGTACCCGAAAATCAACAGTCAAGGTCCTTGACGCGCGGGCGCGGTAGCGACTTCTTCGTTGCGGAGGGCTTAGCGGAGGAGGAAACGCGGTCTGCGAAAACTCCCAAATAATGATATACGTGGTGCACGCGCACAAGCGGCGGCGAAATATCAGGCGGCGAAATATCAGGTATCGTCACCGGAGTCATCGGAACGACATGACTGGTGCCAAACTTGAGGGGCAAAAAGAAAAAAGAGAGGGACTTACGAGTTGCCGTAGCCAGTGCAGCCCAAAGCGCAATGCGGAAGTCCTAGAAGAGAAGAAGCGGAGAAAATTGAGAAACAACAAAGAAGGAGCAAAAAGGTCATTCGACAAAACGCTCCGTGAACTTTAGGAGGATGCAAAGGGCAGTCGAGAAACCTCCCCAGCTTGAAGGGCTTGGGGCCAACACATTCATCGCGCCGTTACATCCATCGAGCAAATACGTCCAAGCACAACCTTAGTTAGTGCTTTTTTCACCCTTATAATCAACAAAATATAAACAACTTTAATATAAAATGAGGACGATACACAAAATCATGCTTTTCATTTCGCTCTGAGGAAAAAAAACAAGAATCTGAATGCCTTATAGAGTTTAATTTTGACACACTAACGTCCTGGAGCTTACCGTTTGTTCCCTTGAGCTCCCGAACGAATAATAATGCGAATAATGCAAAAAAGCCCCATGGCGGTCATCTTGGCGTCTATGAATGCACTAGCACTATGGACGTAATGGCACGCTAGGTGTCATGACAGGAAGGTTGAACAATTACAATCACCGAGCAACTATGCATCCATCCAGCAGCTACACCCGTACATATATCAACACATCCAGCGATCTAGTATTTCCATCGTGCCATTTCATCTATCGATGGATCTGTACTGGCTCAAAAGAAGATTATAGCGCCGTAAAAAAAAAAAAGGGAACAAAATCAGCATAAAATGAAACAAATATTTTAGTTGAATTTGCTCTGTCGCGCACGGACTCACCAAGAACAGCTTTTATTCGTTTGCTTTTGTTCCCAAAAATAGCACAATGCTTTCTTAAAAACCTCGAGAAATTCTATTCGCCATAGAACACAGTAGAACAAATAAAACGCGGATATTTAACCGTCCCCAGGATCCGGAATTCCGCCTACGCAGGCTGCCTCAACCCACCGACGAGAAAACCCACAACCGAGCGCAGTCGGGCCACACTGAAGTACACTCTCAAAACCAGGTACGTGCGCTGTAAATCGCTTCGTTCGAGACTACCACTGGAAAGGTCTATGCACTTTTTTTTTCGGAATAATCAAAGCCCGCCGATCATACTCCTTTTCACCCCCAAGCTTAGACAAGGGTGGAAGCTACGTCCTCGTTGGACCAGCCCAACGCGTCTCTTTCGCCTCCGTTATCATATCCTCGCCCATACCGAGGCGCAGAGAGCCGGCTCCGCTGATAAGGAGGCGTCAGATTGGTCTGGCGGGGGTGTAGCTCCCACTATATTCTCGGCATAGGATTGGGCACGAGCGCTGTGTCAGCTTTCGGCTGCGCCTCGTGTCCAATCGGGCCTGAGCCCAATTGCAGAGTTCAATAACGTTACGAAATATATATGTATATATATATAAATATAACGTATACTGAATTAACGAAGGGCACCAAATAGGCTCCAGCGAAGGACTGAGGGTTGTTTTTTGACTACTCGGGGGCTGTTTTCACGTGCAGCCGACATCACGTCGCCTTTACAATGAGCCTTCCGTCAGAGAGCAGGGATTGGAAACCTCGGCCGGGATTCGAAACCGAGGAACTCGTAGGCCTCACGGGGAAGTAAAGGAGGAGGCGGCTGTCGGCGGGCTTCGATTATTCTAAGATGGTATTGGCGCATCGCTCCAGCGGAGAGCCGTCACGTGATTTGTTCCGTCACTCTGACAGGCTCAAAAAAAAAGGAAGGGGGGCGTTTGTTTTTTGATGGAGAAACGGAGTATAGACAAATCCGCGACGTCGTTTCAGCAAGCTAATAGGGAAAAAGTGTGTGTGTGTGTGCGTTGGGGGGGGGGGGGGGGGGGGGAGGGCAGACTGGAGAGCCAAGGGGAGCTGCCCGCGCGATCCAGGCTTCGATCGAAGCGCTGAACTCGAGGGAGGCATGGGCGGTCTGGGAGTCAACCGCGCCTCGTTCATTAGCCCGGCAAAAAAGGCAGTTTTGAAGCGAACGCGCACCAACCCTTCTTTCCGCTTCATCCTCCAGAGCGATAAAATTTCTACAACGCCTCTCCTCCCCTCTCTTCTTCCTCCTCCGCCGGTCCTCCGTCTCTGCATCGTGCAGCAGGAATAAAATCGGGCTCCCTCTCTTCGTCCCGGTCTTCCTTCCGTTCGCGAATTACTCCGATTAACCCGGCACAAAAGACTTTCAGAGTTGGCTCGAAATCGCGAGCAATAAAAAGCAAAGTGTCGGGACAATAAATATTAAACAAAATGCAATAAAGGCAAGTACGTAGTCCAAGCTCTACGACGAGTCGTTTCCAAAAAAGACTAAAACTATATTTTGACCAAAAAAAAAAAAAAAGATCCCTGAACGAACAGACACATACACAGAGGCCATGGGGAAAGACTAACGACAGAGGCGAGAGACCAAGCAAGGCCCCGTCAGCGGCACTTTCAAATCCAAAATGTAAAACAAGCAAAAAAAGAAAGAAAGAAAAAAGATACTTATATCTTCCTCCTCGAGCCCAGCCGATGGTACTTTGTCCCGCTAATTTCATCTCTTCGTAAGTCAAAACGTGTTTTTTCTTTCTTTTTCTTTCGCTTATCGATTTTTGCGTCCATTTTGAGACTTTTCCAATTATACGGAGATCCCCATCGCGGAGTTTAGTCCCGAGGGAGCAAACAATGTTCCCGCGAAGCGACAACAAACACACTCAACGCCGCGAAGTCCTCCGTCACCTGCCGAGCCCTTCCCAGCCCCGCCTCCCAAATTCGTTTTGGGGGAACTTTATTTTCTTATTTTATGTTCTTCAAGTGCGACAACAGCTTGCGTCTTCATTTTCAGCCCCCTCTATTTTTTTCTCCATCTATCCACACACTCCCACGCACACGCAGGGGACACACAAACACACGCACGCACGTACGCACACATCCAAACTTATGTGTGTGCACACACACGCACACATATAGCTATCTTCTCCGAGCACGGCACCAACTTGAGAAAGTTTGCTATCCCCCCGAGAGCGACTGACGCTGATATCAAAAGATAAAGGACTGAAAATAAAAACAAAGACGCGAAAAGGAAGAGCGTGAGATAAAACGGACGACTCAATCGAGTCAAAATAAAACATCCACGACGACAGACAGCGCCTGCGCAGCTCAGTCTATATCTCGATTTAAAACCGGGCTGCTGAGATGAGGGCTCACTAAACCTCAACACGAGTTGTGAAGACGCGAGAAGAGGGCGGAATTCGTTTCTTAAAGAATAAACCGGAGAAAACTAGAATATGTATAGCAGCCCAAGCGCCGACGACAGAACGGGCGAGCCAACGAAACAAAAATGCATCCACGGGTGGAGCGATGAAATGAGCGACGATAGGCGGCGATCGAAAGGGATGCGTGCTCGCTTCGGAATAAGAACCACGAAGTTAGATTGAAAACTTTACGGAATCGCCGTCAGGAGGCTTTCTTTCGAAAAATATTTTGATGTCACTGTGTTGGCCACCTTTAAGTATGAAATGACTACAAAATGTCAGATTTATATCTCAGAAAGTCTGGCTTTGAGAAGCGTTCTAGTCGAGCAACCATGAACATTTTCAATAATGGATAGAAATGAAATTCGAACGGTCGGCGAATGTTTTTATTTGGTGGGAAAAATTGCGACGGAAATCAAATCCAAGCTTAATTCTGATCTTCGGCGCTCGTCACCTTCGTTTTCCACCGTAAGCTTTTACGCACCGGAATGGTGAATAAAATCCATGACTTGGTTTTGGAGGACCGCCGCACAAAAGTGCGTGAAATGGAGGAAGTAGTGGGCATCTCTTCTGAACGAGTTGTTCATATTTTACACAATGAATTCGGATTAAAGAAAGTTTCGGCAAGATGGGTGTCACACTTGCTCAATCTGGAGCAAAAACGCATTCGATCCCGAACGTCAGCCGACAGTTTGCAAGTGTTTCAGGCAAATCCAACGGATTTCAAGCGACGATTTGTAACTATGGACGAGACCTCGGTCTCCCATTACACACCCGAAACAAAGAAGTCAATCGAAACAATGGACTAGGCTCGGTAAATCGGCTCCGCAGAAGTCAACGATTCAGTGGGCTGGCAAAGTGATAACATCAGTTTTTTTTTTTTTTTTTTTTTTTTTGGGGGGGGGGGGGGGGGGGGACGCCAAGGGAATTTTGCTTATTGGTTATCTTGAAACGGGATAAACTGTTACTGGTCAATACTACAAAACACGTCTGAATAAGCTGAAACAAGTAATTAAATAAAAAAAACGGGAATTGTCCAGAAACAGGTGTTGTTTAGCGAGGACAATGCACCCGCCCGTTCAAGTGCAGTCGCTCTCAACCTCCTTCCGCATCCACCGCAATCACCTGATCTGGCTCCCTCGGACTTTAACCTATTCTCGAAGTTCAAGACCTTCCTGGCTGGAAAGGGATTTCTGTCGAATGAGGAGGTGATGGAGGCTGTGAACAGTTATTTCGGGGATCTCTATGAACGTCACTTCCGGGAGGGAATCGAAAAGCTGGAGAAACGCTGAACTGAGTGCGTCAAGCTACGGGCAAATTGCGTCGAAAAAAAAAAAAAAAAAACTTAAATCAGATATTTATTGTTTTCATTTTCATTCCTGAAACTTTTTAATCTCCCCTCCTATATAACACAAATAGATGCACGTGAAAGTCAAACTGCAAGACAATAACACAGTACACTAATAAAACTTGATCCAATATTTAAAAAAAAAAAAAAGAAAACATTTTGCAGAGAGACTTTTAGTGAATGCTGCACTTGTTGATTTCAAAGTTGAATACCAGTGTTTTCCTTGATGCGGTGTCTCACGTTACATTTCCGACAACCCTTCTTGCCATTTCTTGGTGAAGCAAACTGCACTTTTCTTGCCTCGGTAATGATATACAGATCTCATCGAAATCAAAGAAACTCTGGCAAAATGAAGGGCCTACCAGTCAATGTGAAACTACAGAATCCCTCAAAATGGTAAACAATTTAAAACCGCTCCCAATCTCCTGAGGCTTACAGCTACACGCAGAACGTCGAAAGCCAGTAATACTTCCCTATTCCTGGCCACTC